TTGTAACCACCATTTGCATCATTGGGATTTCGGATTGTAACAAATATGAAGTTTTTAATAAACTCATTTAGTGTACTAAGCAAATGAATGTATCAAACCATTTGCATTCGGTTAAAAAATTGGCAATTAATTTATTTAATGAAAATGGAATTTAACCATTAAAAGTTAAAAGTTATTATTCTATTAATTAATAAGGTTGATAAAAAATATGATCCTCTTAGCCATAATAAAATTTGTTTATGATGATTTGCTTTTTATCTCCTCCACCTCTTTCCTGGGCGTAGCCTCGTCTACCTCCTCCACCTCTTTGCCGACGCCTACGCCCTCCGCGTCGCCCTCGGTGGCGGTGATAGGGGCCGCGCCTCGAAGAATTAACAAAGAAGTAACAAATCTAACTCGACGTTATAATCGGTTCGCAAGCTTACAACAAAACTTTCAGCTCCCATTATGATTTGTTTTTTGTACTTGTACAGCTACGAAGTGATGGAGCGGTGCCTATGAAATCAATTTCAAAGTTTTTGTGCATTAAGACTGCAACAGTTTTTCCTTTTTGGAAGTAAATTTCATACATCTCATTTATGCATTATGATAGGACATTTCGAGTAAAATCGCTTATTAAAATATTTAATAAGCTCCCATATGAATTTCTTGAAAGAGGTCATCCTTTACCATAGAATAAAGTACAATATATTGGAATATTACCATCGCTGCCGCGAAATTTTTCGAAGTTGTTTACAAATACAATTTCCTTACGGCATTTCGCCTATTAAATTTTTTTTTTTTATTTGTGCGTAAAGCAGCACAATATGCTTATGCATTGAGCTACAAATTTGAAACAAGAAGTCTTTGTGAAGATTCAAAAATAAGACGTCTCACAAAGTATCCCATACTTCAATACTGTTCTAAAAAAATAGTTGAATTCTCGATGATTCTATATTTTAACTTTATTCTTTCATTTTGAGCTCTGCTTCATCTTTTGTCTTATACACTTTATCGAACTAAGGGAGAATATGCTACTAAAATTGAGATAAGCAGTTGACGGCACATATCAAAATTCTCGCTTATTCATGCAAAAGGAAAAATTTTTTATGTGTCCTGAAATTAGATTGCCTGCAACTGAGAAATTATAAGGTGATATTAGATACATTAGAAGTTGAACGAAAATTGAATACACCATCTTCGCAGCACACGTGCACTATTGATTCAACCAAGGATAAAAAAATCAGATAAATTAAAGAAACTTTTATTTTAGTTTTGTAAATAAACACATCTTACATTGACCTTTACTTTTTTTGATTGTTATTATAAAAGAAAGCACAATTTCCGTTTCTTACTTTACTGTAATGAGCCGACCTTTCCAGCCTGGCATTAAAAAAGGAAAGAATTAAACGTCAGTTTCAGATTTAATTTTAGCCAAGAAAGCAGTCTTATGTTCGGCCAGTTTAGCTTTGCGCTGCTCATTTGTGAGTTTCTTAGCATTCCACCGTTTCTTAGTGACGCCGGTTTTCTGTACCTTTTTATGAGTAGGATCGGCACGTATAGCTTGGTGGGCTTTTTTATAGATTTCTTCAAGCTGTAACGTATAGGTAAAAATATTTCGAAAATGATAACCAAAAAGAGAAATATAAATAGAAAAGGTTATTGACGATATCTTTTTAACACTATTGCTATCAAAATCGGAGGAAATTAATATAATAATAACAGATTTAACGTTAAAAATAACTTAAAATTTTTTTTTAAATTTAAAAAACGTCATTTAGGAAAGTTGCTTTCGTCTTCAGGTGAAAATCCTACTCCTTTTGGTTGATAGCTCTTTTTAGGTCGAAAGGTTTTTTTGAACGTCACGATGATTAATTAATAATCAAGGAAATCAAGGGATCAAGAAAACAATTACGTCTTCTAGTACTAGTACGAGTATGTTTTAATAGCTTTATTCCAAAACTCACGCAAAAATTTTATAAGTATATAAGCCTAACAAATAACATGTAAGATATAGTTATATATATAGCGTGGGTAGTTCACAGTGCGAAATACACACCTTCATCAGCAATAACTAATTTGCGAAAAACCACTATAGTGGGACAAATATTTTAGATTTAATCTAAATTTTCAGATATAAAATTACAATCAGATTGGTTGTGCTGATATTGCAGATAAACATTTGAGGTTGCATTTGCAATGATATTATTATATAGACACGGCTTTGTACGCCTTAGCGCATTTAATAGTAAGCAAATGCTACAATGCTTTCATTATTTCACATTATTATTGGGCACTCGGCTCAAGACAACAGAAAGAAAGAAGAAACTTGATAAACGCGTAATTCGAATATAAGTTTTGTAAGGCTTAGTGGTCACCTTGGAAAGTTACTGCCAGCTTCGCTTCACAGAATCTTCTAAAATTTAGTGTTAGATTTTTGTGAAATCATATCAGGAAATTAAGCTTATTGTATATAGTAAAATTTCGAACTTAGATTTCCAATAAATTGATGTAGTCCACCTTTGGCACAGCCAGTCTATGATACTAAGACGTAGCAGTAATTTTAGAAATGGACGTCTTTTTATATAAAAACAAGCAATACCTACATCATCAGCACGTATTCCCAACTTAATGTAACGACTAAATTGTCGTTTGAAGCCTTCCTCATCTTCTTCTTCTAGCGTACGCATATAATCGGCTACATGTTGACCAAAAATATGAGCACGATGGACGTCAGGATTGAAGCTTTTGTTTTCAGATGAGTAACCAGGGAAACGCTTAAGCGAATGTGGTATATTCAAACCACCATCAACGGCACCTTTCATGGCCCCGAATACTCTAGCGCCTGTAGTAGTGCGAGCTAATCCAACGTCCAAATAACAACGGAAAGCACCAGGACCGTCAGCAACTGGTTCAACATTATATTCATCCCCAGTAATTTCTGGGCAGCCGTCGTACAGAGAATCTAAACCTAATTTGTTCAAGATTCGACGTGCAACCAACAAACCCGTACAATAAGCAGCAGCATAATTAGTCAGACCCACCTAGAAATCATGGTTAACAGGTCATTTATATTATAAATAAAAAGAAAAGGCAACTTCTATCGAAACACCACCTTTATACCGTAATTGGGCAACTCATGTGAATATGCTGCACATATAATTCGATCACCCTCAATGCGCGAATAAGCAATTTGGACAGTGATGTCCTTATTAGACAAGCGTACAATCAATCGGTACTTAGGCGTATTATATTTGTTCTTGTCTTGGAATATTAAACGTTTACGTGCATAATAGTCGGTTTTACCCTCACGACGCCTACGGAACTTGACTTGATAACGTTTGTAGTACTGTTTATTCTTGACTACTTTAACGAAACCCTAAAGAAAAGGAAAACAATTTTCTTTAAAACATTCAATTTTCAGATAAGAATAAGAACCAAAAAATTATTTCAGGCATAAATTTTCTTCAACATCCTCATATTAGAAGGATTGAATACTATACAAATGTATAAGAAATTGTTCACTAATTATGTTTACAATCCTATTTTATTTTATTTATTTACCATTTTCACTTATTTTGTATAAAAACTATACACCAACGTTAAAAATACGCGATGTTCTTCACACGTAGTGAAAGAAAGAAAAGAAAGATGTCGTGTTGTTTTTTTTGCCAATTTTTAAAAGAAAAGGCGTTGCCAAATTTAAAATATGCGCAGAAAATTAAGAAAAACATTTATTTATGAACGTTGCGAGGGAAAAGAAAACTACGTGATTTTAATATAATTAGTTCAATTTTTAGTAAACGGGAAATAATGAACTTCTGTGTTCGATGTCTTGCGAATAAACAGAACTGAAACTTCAATGAAAAATTTCTGCTTTAAAAACTTAAAGGTTTTATCACAAGAGCTAAAGGACTTGTCATAATATATTTGGAATGTGCAAAAATTTAAATAAATGTCTTCGTTTTAGCCATAAAATGTATAACATTTTCATACATTCTTTAAATAACTATTTCTAGGGGAAAATATTTACTAACTTTCGAAAAGCTCTTTGCAACTAAATTAGAATAAAATATAGACGCAATATTTGACAATATTCGTAGTAAATTAACAGAAACCATTCAAAAGATTAGGTGGTAAGAAAAGAATAACACTCTGAATAACCCTGTTGAGTGTTTTTAATAATAAGAATTTTATAAACGTAAGAAAAGTAAACGTCAGGTAAAAGGTCTTTGCGGAATTTTAGTCAATTTACAATCAAAAAAAGTTTTCTACTAAGATTTGTTTTTTATATTAAAAGCAAAATACGGGCACTTCCTAACCACCCTTTTCAACAGCTAAATGATGAATTTAAAAAGATTGCGCGTGTTAAATCCAATCGCCTTTTCTGTAAAGCAAATCCCGCATTTCAATTTAAACCCTTATCAGAGGCTTTCTTTAATTCCAATCAAATCAAAATTCTTTATAGATTCATGAGTGGTCACGCTTAAAATAAGCTATATTTAAAAATGATTCATTTGTAAAGTTTGTAATATTATCGAGTCTGCTGAGTATCTAATTTTTAGATGTCACGGGCTTGATGATATTGGAAGTTCTTTTGGTTTGTTCAAGTTCTATGATGATCTCCTCGAACGCTTCGCAGCAATTTACATCATCCCGGAAACTAGCTTGCTTTATAAGAAAAGCGAATTTGTCTTTTTAATGAATGATAATTTTTTTTGTTTTCAATCATTTTCTTTCAGTCGAAGTTTGCAACACTTTTTTTACATCACTTTCAACAACTCACCAGTCTACAATTACAATTAACATATCGGCTTTAGCTACTTTGGCCGCATTTTTTTTTTATTCCGTTTTATATATATTTCTTTGCTAATTATTACTACTGTTTATTACCTGGACATATAAGCCAATAATTTTAACTCAACATATAAAAAAAAATCAATAAATAAATACAAATGCTTTATAAAAAAAACTTGTGAAATCAACGTTCGCAAAAAGCTATGGGTAATGAAGGCAGTAAATTAAAAGATCTGAAAATCGACAAAAATGCTGTCAAAGTTAATAATTTTTGGGCCATGTTTAATGCGGTGGCTTCTTCTTCTACGAATGAGGAGGGAAAACAGTACCTGTCAATATTCCAAGGCGAACCTGTAGTAACAGGAGAACTCTGGGCCGTCCAAGGGCCTTTGGAAAGAGCAATTAAGGTTTTTCGTGAAACAAGCTTAACCATTCATACTTCTAAAATATATTTCAACTTTATAGAATTTAATGATCTATCGTCATCCTTATATATTGAAATACGTTACAACTTGGGAACAAGGTGGTCTAAAATATTTGGGTACCGAACGAGTGCGGCCTCTACAACCAGTTTTATCCCAGCAAAGTGATATACAAATTTGTTTGGGTTTAAGGACAATTTTATGTAGTTTAGTATTTCTAATAGAAAAGGTATTGAGGTATTGGAAAAAGAATTGTTGAAGTTCCTAATAATTATAGTTTTTTTTTAGGCTTTTGCGCGTCATATAAACGTTTGTACACAGTCAATATATGTTACCGACAATGGCAGCTGGCGTTTGGCAGGATTTGAATATGTGTGGAAATATAAGGAGGTGACTAAAACCCTTTTGGATCTGGCTTCAGCGCATCGGTACAAAAAAGCTATTGATCCCGGAGAAAGCTATGAACAAAGTTTCGAAGCCATTGAACAGTACTCTTTTGCTACTTTATGCGAAGAAGTTCTTAACAAATGTGCAGAAAAGAAAACTCCTAACATACCTACACAATACGTGCAAGAGTTCCGTGAATATTGCTGCACACATCTCAAACATAAGAATCCGCAAATGCGCCCTAAATTGTCGGCCGTGCTGCTTCACCCTTACTTCAACCACGAATTTGTTCTCATCCACGCTTTTTTGTTCGAATTACCTTTGAAAAACAATCATGAGAAGCAGAATTTTTTTACGAGTCTCATTGATCGTTTGCGTTACTTTGATGAAGAATTGGTGGGCGTTCAATTTGCCGGGGATTTACTCTCGCGCATGGTGCTGCTAGATCCGACGGCCCAACTTTGTGTGACACCTTACGTTCTACGTACCAAGGATGATTTTAGTTCCGCTTTATTTTCAGCGACCACTTATAGTGCATATCTCATGCTTCACATTTTGAAAATGTTCCGTTTGCGTGATGCACAAATACGTCTTATTTTGTTGGAATATTTTATGGAATTTGTTCGTTTACTTACACGGGATGAAATAGAGGAAAACATATTACCACATCTTATAGCCGGCATGCACGATAAGAACGATGTACTGGTGGAGAAAACATTGCGTTGTCTAGCCGATTTGGTACCGATATTAGGAGCGACAATTGTTTTGGGTGGACAACGGACTCGTTTATTTGCAGACGGCCGACCCCAAGCAGCAATATCTGACGCCGCCGTGCTCTGGGTGGAACCTAGATCTATTACTCCTATACTTGGAGAGAATGGCGAATGTCCCGTGGTATCAGGAAGTCCATTGCCAGATAATTTAACGAGTAAAAGTGCTAGTTTTTCTTCTCTATCCCAACCCGTAGTTTCTGAGTTATATGAACACAATATGCCGCCTCGTTTAAGTCCAGATGGAGGCGAAGATATAAAGTGCTCAGGGCCTATGGATGTTAACACGCCAATGACGTCTGCATCCACAGAATTACCATTAAAAAATGCTATTTATGAATCGGAAAAACAGGTGACAAAACTTCAAGATGAAGTTGGTACTAAAAATAATTCAGTTACTGAAGAAAAAAGAGAAACTGAAGACGAACTATGGTCTGATTGGAATGACGATGAATTAGAAAAAAAACCAAATATAAATGAACTATTTTCTTCAAAAAATCTTGCCAACCAAAGTACGCATATAGCTGAAGTTATTAGTGTTGACGATGTAAGTGGCAAAGGGGTCAGTCCAACCAAAACTAGTTGTTCTTATGGTATACTCCCGTCACAATCACTTGTGGATCCTTATCGCACTGCACTCGCGCAATCGACTCCATCTTCTTCGTATTTTTCGTTAAAACCTTTACCTTTGCTACAAATAAATGACGATTTGAGCACTCTCGACATACAAATACAGAAATCGTCTGAAGTCGCAGCAAATTCTGAGAAGCATGAATTCGATTTTTTTAAAGATATGGAACCGGTCATAGAAGCAGCACATAGTGTCCCGATAACAACAAGCCCAACGTGGCTAGATACAACCGGAGTTGTGGTGATAGATTCGAAACGATTTGCAGCTACCCTTACAAGCAACGAAGAAGATAACAGTGGTTGGTGTGTTGACGAAGAAGTTGATGATTTAAACATAGACAACATAGAAATATCCCAGACAGCTAGGCAAACGCCTAGCGCAGAAGTGCTTAGTCAACCTTAGTTGTTTATTTTTTTGGGATGCCGTCTTAATCTAAATTTATATGCAATTTTATGTACATCTACTTTGAAATTGTTTTCTTATTTCTTTTAGTTATTTTTTTTCCTCACTAATTTTCCTTATAACCATAGTTGACAAACGATTACTGTTATTAACTTTGATTTATGCGAAACAAAGGATTAATACGAAATTGGTTAGAAAATTAGTTCTATTTTATTATGATAATTAATATAGAATAGAACTTATTAGAGCAAATATATATTTTTAGTTTTTCTGTAACGCTAATTGATAATTTGGGCACTTTGGTTCTGCTGGGAGATTGTGAGATTTCGGTTAAATACGTAAATACGCGACGTACAATTTGATAATGAGATAATTGTGTCAGTATTTGAAACTAATATTCGTATGATTGATGGATTGCCGTCCGCACATTTCAGTATCTATAAAAAAACGTTGATGCAATGCTTTGGCATCGGGGGGAATTTGTAGAAATGGCACGTGATTTAGGATACCGGTTGCTTCCAGCTTTTTTGCAGCATTTTTGCTTCCTTATCAAGAACTAGTCCGTCCGCTTAAAAGTCCACCCGCAACCCGCAATCAGCAAGTCCGATCTGTCCACGCATGTCGTTCTGTGAACAATACACGAGTAGCCTCCTCCAACATCAAATGCATAAAATCATAAAAACACGCACTAAAGAGAAAAATCATAAAATATGCCTATACCTTGTAAAGAGAAAATATCATAAAAAAAAACACACACCAAATATGCCTATACCGTACAAAGAGAAAATGTATAGACACATATTGCACAGGCCTACGCTAGTTAATCCATAAGAATACACACTCCAGCACCAAACGAAGGGTAAAGAGAATGAAGAAAACATGTATGGAACGGCGCCAAGGCATAGAATATGTAAAATATATAATACAGGCACGAGCAAATAGGTATAAGATCGGTAGAATGAATAAAACTTGTATGAAATGGCTCGTAGGCATAGAACGTGTAAAATCATACAACACAAACCCTAGACGAACTTAGGCACAAAACCATATGTAACATTTACACAACCGCCAAGCGCAGAACATATATGAATAAGATCAAATAAAACTTGTCAGACACAACTCAAAGCCATAGAACTTGTGAGACATATAACTCAAACCCATGTCAAACATAGGTATAAAACCATATGGAATAAGTACAACATATACAAGAAGAAATCTGTATGCCTTAAAATTGTATAAGCAAACTGTAGAAACGCGTACATATTACGCATTACGGTATAAATCCCGTTAGGTTGTTTAAGTATATAGAAACCCTTGTACTTCGCAATACACAATCACACACTCGCTTATGCAAACGCACATACCAAAGAATCACATATAGCATTTTATAGTACCGTTAGGCCACAGTAACATACAGAAATCTGTATGCCGTAAAATTGTATAAGAAACTGTAGAAACGCTTACATATTACGCATTACTGCATAAACCCCGTTAGGATATATAATGAGGTAGAAACCCTTATGCTTTACAATGAATATACGATCAGACAAAAGGTATAAACGTTAGAGTCACACATAGCAATAAACACCAATACTCGTACGCGCAAAGAGCACAACCACACACACAATATTACACAAAATGTACAAAGACACGATCACACATGTAGAAACACACAAAAAACAAGCATATGCAAACACAGTGGCATAGAAAGGCACAAGCACTCACGTACCTAACGGTGATTGAATCATGCGATTTGGTACCTGGGTGCCTGTTGCGTCGAAATTTGAACAAACATAATAATAAGGTAGATGTAAGTGATATTAAGTTATGTATAAGCAGGATCATGCAAGTCGTAACTAAGGTTGCGACTGCAGCCAACCTAAGCTAAGTATACTCATAAGCATATGTAAACACACAGAACATGTTGGCAACAGGACAAGCGAGCGAGACTGCGGCTATAAAGGCTAACGATTCTTCCTGTTAAACTAGAACATAAAAACTGTTTAAGCCAAAACCAGACTACACAAAATATTGTCAACGATCTTGCACTTAAAGCTTTTTCTATCCAATTCTCGTTTTAAACGTAATCATCACTAGATTTTCAATTTGCAAACCCTTAAATATATCTACCGAAGCATAAGCATCAATGTTTATAATTGGCTAGGAGAATCGTTAGCATCATTGCGACATTGAGCTAACCGCACCCGAACGCGCAACGGCGTAACTCTATTATTTTAAGAACTAACGTGACTATTAGCTATGTCAATATATTATTATTACAAATATTATAATTTTAGACTAATGAAATAAATTCTTAGACTAAAGAAAAAAGACATTGAGCACTAGTAACGCAGGCTATCGGCTCTAATTTATATAAATGAACATTAGATATTAAGCCTAGTAGTTGTAATAAAGCAATATATTGAAGTGATATTCTTTTCTGAAGGTGATTTTAGAATGTCCAAAGGATTAATCGTTCCAAATGCAATAATTCTAGCCAAGGAAAAGTTGAGG